CTTGGGAGGATGCAAGTGTCCAGGAATTTATCCATTTCTTCCAGGTTAACTAGTTTATGTGCATAGAGTTGTTTGTAATAATCTCTGATGATGGTTTGTATTTCTGTGGACTCTGTGGTGATATCCCCTTTATTGTTTTTTATTGCTTCGATTTGATTATTCTCTCTTTTCTATTAATCTGGCTAGTGGTCTATTTTGTTGATCTTTTCACAAAACCAGCTCCTGGATTTATTGATTTTTTGAAGGGTTTTTTGTGTCTCTATCTCCTTCAGTTCTGCTCTGATCTTAGTTCTTTCTTGTCTTCTGCTAGGTTTTGAGTTTTTTTGATCTTGCTCCTCAGTCTCCTTCAATTTTGATGATAGGATGTCGATTTTAGATATTTCCTTGCTTCTCATACGGGCATTTATTGCTATATAGTTTCCTCTAGACAGTGCTTTAAATGTGTCCCAGAGATTCTGGTATGTTGTGTCTTTCATTCTCGTTGGTTTTGAAGAACATCTCTATATCTGCCTTCATTTCATTGTTTATCCAGTCAACATTCAAGGCCAGTTGTTCAGTTTCCTTGAAGCTGTGTGGTTCTGAGTTAGTTTTGAATTCTGAGTTCTAACTTTATTGCACTGTGGTCTGAGAGACAATTTGTTATGATTTCCATTATTTTGCATTTGCTGAGGAGTGATTTACTTCCAATTATGTCATCAGTTTTAGAGTAGGTGTGATGTGGTGCTGAGAAGAATGTATGTTCTGTGGATTTCTGTAAATGTCTATTAGGTTTGCTTGGTCCAGGTTTGGGATATCCTTGTTAATTTTCTGTCTCGTTGATCTGTCTAATATTGACAGTGGAGTGTTAAAGTCTGCCACTATTACTGTGTGGGAGTCTAAGTCTCTTTCTAAGTCATTAAGAACTTGCCTTATGTATCTGGGTGCTTCTGTATTGGGTACATATATATTTAGGTTCATTAGCTCTTCTTGTTGCATTGATCCTTTTACCATTATGTAATATCCTTCTTTGTCTCTTTTGATCTTTGTTGGTTTAAAGTCTATTTCATCAGAGATTATGATTGCAACTTTTGCTTTTTTTTGCTCTCCATTTCCTTGGTAAATCTTCCTCCATCCCTTTATTTTGAGCTTTTGTGTATCCTTGCATGTGAGATGGGTTTCTGGGATACAGCACATTGATGGGTTTTGCCTTTTTATCCAATTTGCCAGTCTGTGTCTTTTGACTGGGGCATTTAGCCCATGTACATTTAGGGTTAATATTGTTATGTATGAATTTGATCCTGCCATTTTGATGCTGGCTGGCTGTTTTGCCCATTAGTTGATGTAGTTTCTTCCTTGTGTTGATGCTGTTTATCATTTGATATGTTTTTGGAGTGCCTGGTACTGGTTGTTCCTTTCTGTGTTTAGTGCTTCTTTCAGGAACTCTTGTAAAGCAGGCCTGGTGGTGATGAAATCTCTGAGTAATTGCTTGTTCGTAAAGAATTTTATTTCTCCTTCACTTATGAAACTTAGTTTGGCTGGATATGAAATTCTGGGTTGAAAGTTCTTTTCTTTAAGGATGTTGAATATTCCCCCCCCACACACACACTCTTCTGGATTGCAGGGTTTCTGCTGAGAGATCCACTGTGAGTCTGATGGGCTTCCCTTTGTTAGTAACCCAACCTTTCTCTCTGGCTGCCCTTAGCATTTTCTCCTATATTTCAATCCTGGTGAATCTGACGATTATGTGCCTGGGGGTTGTTGTTCTTGAGGAATATCTTCATGGTGTTCTTTGTATTTCCTGGACTTGAATGTTGGCCTGCGCTGCTAGGTTGGGGAAGTTTTCCTGAATAATATCCTGAAGAGTATTTTCCAGCTTGGATTCATTCTCTCCGTCACATTCAGGTACACCTATCAAACTTAGATTAGGTGTTTTCACATGGTCCCATATTTCTTGGAGGGTTTGTTCATTTCTTTTTAGTTTTTTTCTCTAATCTTGCCTTCTCGTTTTATTTCATTGAGTTGATCTTCCACCTCTGATATCCTTTCTTCTTCTTGGTCATCTGGCTGTTGCAACTTGTATATGCTTCTTTACGTTCTCGTGTTGTGTTTTTCAGCTCCATCAATTCATTTATATTCCTCTCTGTTTATTCTCATTAGCATTTCATCAAACCTTTTTTCAAGGTTCTTAGTTTCTTTGCATTAGGTTAGAACATGTTCTTTTAGCTCAGAGAAGTTTCTTATTACCCACCTTCTGAAGCCTGTTTCTGTCAATTCATCAGACTCATTCTCCATCCAGCCATGTTCCCTTGCTGGTGAGGAGTTGTGATCCCCTGGAGGAGGAGAGGCTTTCTGTTTTTGGGTGTTTTCATCCTTTTGTGCTGGTTTCTTCCTATCATTGTGGATTTATTTACCTGTGGTCTTTGTAGTTGGAGACTCAGGTGGGGTCTCTGAGTGGATGCCCAGTTTGTTGATGATGAAGTTATTTCTTTCTGTTTCTTAGTTTTCCTTCTAACAGTCAGGCCCCTCTGCTGTAGAACTGCTGAGGTCCACTGCAGGCCCTGCTTGCCTGGGGATCACCTGCAGCGGTTGCAGAACAGTAAGGGTTGCTGCCAGTTTCTTCTTCTGCTAGATTTGTCCCAGAACGATACCCACCAGATGTCAGTCTGAGCTCTCCTTTCGGTGGTGACTCTTTGGATATACAGGGGTCAGGGAGCTGCTTGAGGAGACAGTCTATTTTTTGTAGGAGCTCAAGTGCTGAGCTGTGAGCTCCATTGTTCCATTCAGAGCTGCAGGGCAGGTATGTTTAAGTCTGCTGCAGCAGAACTCATAACCACCTTTTTTTCCCCCAGGTACTCTGTCCCGGGAAGGTAGGGCTTTATTTGTACGTTTCTGTCGTGCTGCTGCCTTTTTTCAGGGCTGCACTGCCTAGTGAGGAGGCAGCCTAGTCACAGTGTGCCAGCAGAGGTTTTGCTCTATTTACATTATTTTGCAACAGATCTCTAGATTTTCATTTTACAAAAGTAAACTCTGATAATTAATAAACTGCACTTTGCCCTCTTTCTCCTCAGCTCCTGAAGAACATCATTTGACTTTCTTTTTTATAACTGGGACTAATTTTTATATCTCACATGAGTGTAATTATACAATGTCTCTTTTTTAATGTCTTATTTTACTCAATGTTTGCAGGCTTTGTCTTTATTTTCAGATGAGTGACACCCAGTTTCATTTCCTGTTCTAGTATTTTCCTCTGCTGCTCAGTGAAGTTTTTTGCTGATCTCACAGGTCTTAGTTGATTCTCACTATGAATGGTGTAGCACCATTGGGAAGCCCTTTAATAAAAGACTGTAAGAAATTTCCTATCTTCCTTCTGACAGTAAAGATGGTATAGAAAGACAGAAACCCAGGCTGTTGCTTTGCTGCATGCCAACACTTGAAAGAATCGGTAACTACATGGCAGGAAGAATCAGGAAGGTGGGTGAGGAGAGCAGGAGCATCCCAGATCCCAGAATGAGCCGTTTGCTTCTCTCTCCCAGTCTTAGGAAAATCCCATTTGTAGAATTGACTGATGACTTATAAGAGGAAGAAAGCTGCTAAAGAGTTCTTTATACCTGAAGTAAGATCTGACAGTATTAGTGGCTGACGTTAAACGTTCAGAAAGATCACCTACCAGCAAAGGGGCTCTAATGAAGAAGGCAGCTGGAGAGAATAATGAAGAGCCTGCAGGCTGGGAGGAAAGGGCTTTGAGGCAGAGGCTCCGCCTAAGAGGTGGGCAAGCTGTTTGGTGGAGCAGGCTGAACCCCTCATCACCATCAACTCAGCTTCGACAACTATCAAGTTATGGCTGGTCTTTCATCTACCCTTTCACCTATTTCCCTTCTCACATATTCCAGTACAAACTCCAGACATACTTTACTACCAAGAAAAAAATGTCGAGGCAGAAGTTAAACCAGATTTTTTTGCTGATCAGCTTTGCTCTGTGAAACATTCCTTTACATCGGGCTTGTGTGAAGATGCCTTGTATTGGCCTGTCCACACTGTAAGCCACATTGAAATGAAGTACCAGAGGATGTGGCGTTTCTTCAGTTTCGTCATCCCCATCCCTCTTCCTAACATGGACCACTGAGAACTACTTTAGCAAGGAGTTAAGAGAGACATATCATCTCTTGCCTCTAAGGCTAGCTCCATTTATAAAAATTGTGACCGTTGTTGGTTCATAAACAATTGCAGTTTTAATTGCAACGTTAGAAGGTTCCTGTGTGTTGCTGGAAGCTCTACTCATCAGTCATTTCTAAGTTCTTGCATATCAAGTCACATAATTCTGCTTTGATAAGCTTGTTGCACTTACTTTCGTAAAAACTAAAACTAAGAGACGTTAGGCCGAGCTGTGCTATGCCATCCGATTTACTGTGATGATCACTGTGACCCCTTGTGAGGACATCTGGCCCACTTTCAGGTCAGAATCTCTGGGATGGTGCCTGAAAATCTGTATTTTAATATGCTCGCCAAGCGATTGCTATGGAGACCAAAGTTCTGAGTTCCCATTGCCCTTTAGAATGTATCGTGTTGTTTTCCTTGATGTCATTTGTCAGTTTCTACACCTATTGATTTATTCTCTCACTACTCCTCTTGTCAGCAGGCAGACTTAACATCTAATTCAATATGCAGCTTGATTCCTTAGCCACTCCTTCAGAGGAATACTGACATTTGGTGTTGATATTCTGATTCTGTGGGTTTAACTAGCTGTGATCAGCAAAAGCAACTATGTGCAGTGCTCTAATTTTTTCTTTTCCCAGAATGTTGGGGTTGGGAGTGAAGGTGTTGAGACTGGTTTGTGTCTTGCACAAATTCCAAAGGTGATACTGATACAGAAATTTAAAAATCTTATTTAACGAAACTTTGTTTTTTGATAGTTTTGGCATTTATTCTGTATTTACCAATTCAAAATAGAATGCTTATAAATATTTTTAATGAATAAGCCAACTTTAGATTTTAAAACTAGCTGCAATTTAATTTTCCCATAGGTGTCATCTTTAAGAAATGAAAAGCGAGGCTCATCATATCTCATCTCTGCCCCAGAAGATGGTTCAGTGGAATGTGTTGACCAGCATTCTCAGGGCACAGGAGCATATTACATGGAAACTTACTTAAAAAAGAAACGAGTGTACTGAATTAAGCTCTTTCCTTATAACCCCCTAAGGTTCTCTGCAGTATCTCTGCTGTTCATCGCTGCCTTAACTTCATTCAGACTAGCCATATCCTTTAAATACGGGTTTATAATTTCCCAGAAGGAACTGTATTGTGCAGCAGGCAGAAATGCCAAATAAAAAATAGCAATAAGAAGAGACATCAATTGAGGACATTTTCCACTAGAGTCAGATGCATCTTAATCAGTGTGCTAACTTATAATCCACTGGAGAAACTAACAATGTTCCAAATATTCCTTGTTTTAGGACTGGGAATAATTTTGACACCGTATATAAAAGTTTGAAGCAATAAATGGGAAACAGCGTTGTTTCCTGAGCCTTAGAAGAATGAGTTTCTTATAAGCCAATGTGCATTTCAGTTTACCTTCCCTAGAAGTAATTGCTTTTATAGATTTTTAGGACTTTTCCTAGAACTACAAGGGTGCAAGTTCCAAATGTGCTGATGGTAATATCGTAAAGACACACTACATGTACACTCAGTTACACCCATGCCAGCCATGCAAAATTAAACCCAGTAAGAGAGTGACAGTGATGTCCAAGGTATCCACTACTACAGATGCTTTAAGATGTTGTTTACCATCTCTACCTTCTGTGAAAAATACAAGGTATTTTAAGAAAAGTAGCTTTGGTGATCTAATAAAGGGGTTGGTAAACTACACCCAGGGGCCACATTTGGTCTACCACCCACTTTTGTGTTGCCTGCAAGCTAAGACTAATGTTTACATTTTTTAATGGAGGGAAAAAAATTTATGACATGAAATTCAGATTTTAGTGTCCATAAATAAAATTTTATTGGGACACTGCCATGCTCATTCATTTACGTGTTGCCTGTGGCACTCTTATGCCACAGTGGCAGAACTGATTAGAGACCATATGGCCTGCAAAGACCATATGGCCTGAATTTTGACTATCTGGCCATTTAGAGAAAGTTTCTTGATCCCTGATCTAATAGCACTAATTCTAATAGCAACTATTCCTTTTAATTCACCTAAAGACACACCTTTAGCCTTTGAGACAGACTTGTAAGTGGAAAGGAACATGGGTTTCTGTGCCTCATTTCATAGCATAGATGATCTAATGACTAGAATGGGGCCTATTTTGATCACTAAATGCCCTATTTCCACAATATAGTAAAGCAGTCTGTATTGCACTTTCTGATGGGCGTTTTAAGAAGTCACAGTATTTATAACCATTTGAGCTAATAAGCTATACCTCACTCTGCTTTCCCTCTCACTCTTTGATAGTGTGTTAGGGTCAAAAATCAGTTATTTAACCCAATTTACTTGTGAAAGAAGTTTTCTTTATGGAATATGACTTTTGACATCACCATTTCCTGAAGACCTTGATATTAAATGCATGAGAAACCTTTTGCCATCTAGAAATTTCTAAGTTTGTTCGTTGTTTTAAGAATGTAATTGTTGATAGGGAATTTGGGATCTCGATCCTAGGATTTTTGAAATCAGATCATTAAATATCTTGTCACTTTGGGGAGTTATTTTTAACTATGATGTGGATATCCTGTTTTAATTATGAAGTCTAGAATTGGTACATATGTTGTATGCGTTGTAAAGAATTTCATTTGGTCTAATTTATTGCATCTACTGGCTTCTGTTGGAAAATGACAGAAAGTTTAAGGTAATTTCTAAGTATATACTACCTATAAATAACTGATAAAAATTAGGGAACATTCAGTTATATAGCAGATGACTAATGAGTTTTTCATGCCTTCCACTTTTCATTTTCCTGTTGCACTCAGCCTCTTCATTGTGTAGTCACACCTCCACTATAGTTCAAACAGAAGAAAGGAGAGATGGTGGATTTTGCATCAGAACTGCAAAGTGAAAGGAAGAGGCTGAAAGAACTGAAACAAAGGTGTGTGGATTATGGAACTGGATATGCAATCCATACTGGCCTGCAGTGTTATCATCACTGGGCACAACAGTGCAGAGAACTCAAAGTGGTAATAGTAATAAGGACCATAACCCCACCCCCTCCTCCCCACTAAACTCTATAATGCTTGTTATTTTTCTATGTAAGCAAATTGTTTGAAATGCTTTGAAAATGAAATCTTAATATTAAAAGGCACATGCATGTAAAGTCTTTAGTATATTTATTTGTATAAAGAGTAAACAAAGTGCATATAGAGTGGCCACAGGTTTGACACAGATAGAGACTCTGATGATGTAGGCTACTTAACAAATTTAAATGGCAAGTTTATTGTTGCCATTCAATCAATCCTGAATTTTTTTGGGCTCAACAGGTGAAAAGTAACAACATCAAACAAATATTAGACAGTGTAACAAAAAGATTTTCAAGCTCTTGTTGATAAAGATCTTAAGTCTTTATGTCACAATGAACATTGATCTTTAAGTAAGTCACAGTGAATCAGTGACTAAACATTTTTGTTTACCCAACTACCTCCAAGCAAACTGAAAACTGTTTGTTTTTAGTGGATCTTGAAGTCCATAGCCTCTAGTCCGGGTCTTTTCTTTCAAGTGTTGCACCATAGGGTTATGATGGTAAAAATAGGGATCAACCCTTGTAGGTAGGTGGTAAGTACGGAAACACTCTCAGAACAGTGCAGCGTATGTGGTATTCTGACTGGTTGCATACAGCATTCAAAACCAATGCTGGAATAGCTTGCCCCAAAGTGGTAGTTATAAAAGGATATACATTGACATTTCTTAAAAGCATGTGTAATAGCATCCAGACTCTGGGAATGAGTTCTGATTAAAGGTATACTGCTTAGGAAAGCATTGGCACAGGCTTATTTCTCGAATTAACATGCAGCAAATTATCTATTCCACAGCTGTCCCTGTGTAGAACAAGTTCTCTCAAAAATGGGTACTAGTTGTCACCCAAGGGAACAGGAGCTAAGCCACTGGAGAAACAACTCAAAAGTTTAAGTCCTACTGGTGAGAGAATACAATCAATCATTTTTGTACAGAAACAATATATACTACCTGGTATCTAATATTTTAAGAATGCATGTCTAGAACTGCATAGATATTGAAATTTGAGGGCTGAGTCCATCAATCTTTATTTATAATTAATTAATGTGCCAGAAAAACATTTCAGATCAGCTGGCAGCAGGGAAAAGCAATCATCTTGAGACATTATTTTGGTCATCTCCTCTTGCTTTCAAAAATCCCATTTTTGGTATACAGTTGTGATGGTGAACTAGCCAGACGAGATGGTGGTATATTCTTTCCACAAGGAGGAGTGCTTAAGTGCTTTCAAATATTTTGGTTGTCATTATGTGTCACTAAGATACTGGTACCAAATTTAAAGAGGAAATCCTTACATACATTAAGCACCAGTGTGCCTTATACGTGTATATGTACTCAAGTATGAGTTAAGTGACTTTTTTTGGACAGAACACAAAACTCCTTCTTCATTACAAAGTTTTAAAAAATGGCTTGGGTATTTGTTGGGGGAGGAGGACTTGATAATCTGTGGAATTTAAATGTTATTCATGCTTCTTATTTTAAAAGTGCTTCAAATCCTTCAATAAGGCTCTGAAAGCTTGTCCGATTGGATGGTTGGAATTCCCAGCATTTCCTCATAAGATGATAAACCTGTAAAAAGAAAGAACAGTAAAAATGTTAGATTTGGGAACTTTAAAAAATATATAGAAACCAAGAGTAAGAAAATAATTTTGGAAATGTAAGTGACTTTTCCTTAAACTCTAGAAAAACATGAGTATTTGGATAGAAATGGGATACGACTCTAGTTCATAAATAGTATTTTAACGTTTGAGAAGCTCAAGTGTTGACTGACTTCAATAAAATACAGGTTATTCCTATAAACCAGTTAGAGAGTGAAGCTGAGTTCAGACTTGAACTTTCCAGACTGGCTGCCTCACTCGCTGCCCTTACACTGTTCAGTGTGTCTTCCTTATAGTCTCTAGAGCTTAGTATTAAAGTTTCAATTCACTTAGAAAACTGAATACATATTATAAATGCTACTAATAAGTGGGATAAACTTATACACACACAAAAATGCAATTTTTTTTTTTTTTGAAACCGAGTTTCGCTCTTGTTACCCAGGCTGGAGTGCAATGGCGCGATCTCAGCTCACCACAACCTCCGCCTCCTGGGTTCAGGCGATTCTCCTGCCTCAGCCTCCTGTGTAGCTGGGATTATAGGCACGCGCCACCATGCCCAGCTAATTTTTTGTAATTTTAGGAGAGACGGGGTTACACCATGTTGACCAGGTGTATCTGTCACACTAAGGCTACAATACCCTTTGGAGCAAACAAGTGGATAAAGAGGGGCTGGCTTTTGGAGGAAATCCTTGCTCTGAACCTAACTGGTGGCTATCATCTAGCCCCAAAGGTGATTTCTCAAATATCTTAGGTGAAATTCAGCTTCAAAAAACTATTTCACAGGATTCCACTGCATCATTTCCTCACTGTCCCCTCTACCCATTGCTGGATAACTCAAGCTGTGAAAACATAATAGAAATGGAGTGTTATTACTGTGACATGGCCCATAGATACCTCATCTGGACAGTTAGGTGGACACGGCAAGCGTTTTCCTTCTTTTAATGTATTCACAAGTCTTGTGACTGTCATCTGGCCATGGGTTGGGCCTATCATTTTCAGGAACAACTATATAAAATAAAACCAAACCAAATGTTTAACTTTGCACATGTTTACATAAATGTCAAATAGATTAAGGTGAAATATCTATAATAAAAAACTGGAAACTTAAGTAGCAATAAAAAGGCTTTTCTCCTTAGTAACTTTAAATAAAATCCAAAATCCTTAATAGCTCTCAATGATCTGTCTCTAACCAATGTCTTAGACTCTACCAACCACTCCTTGTGCTGGTCAAGGAGTCTGTTTCCAAGAAAATGATCTGATTTAGGAATAAAGGGGCACAGACAAGGCTGGTTCCTACCCAATGCTACCCCACTTAACTTGCTCATTCTCCCATAAAACTGTACTTCATCTCCACACAGATAAAATCCTTAAGAGTCAAGGTCATCCTATAAAACTCTGGGCTCGTTGTGAAAGCAACACTTGCGAGTTAGCCACAAATAACTGTCAAGTAGCAAACCCAAGTTAAGTGGGAAAGTGACCCTTTCCATTATAATACATTGATTGGATTCCATTTAAAAACAAAAGTTACCAAGCAGAGGGATGGACACATTTTAAATTGGTACTGGATTCAAATGAAGAGGAAAGTAGGACTTACGGCCATGGGACTGGAATCTGAATCACAATAAGTCAGCAGCTCATGCAGAGTAACTCCAAAAGACCAGACGTCAGAGGCAATATAAAATTTAGATTGCATTAAACATTCTGGAGCATACCTTGAAAGGAAGCAGAACACGAAACCATTTCCTGGGAGGCACATTCCTACCGACATTATAGGGTAATTGAAAAATCACCTCTTTGGTTTTTCTTAGAATTTAATCTGAGTTTGTATTACATGTTTTACATGTATCATGTATATGCTGCTATGGTGCACATCTGACCTATAGAACAGTATCCTTTACAGGCTCTTGGTAGCACACATCTGCCCTAAAATAACACAAGTCTGTGCTCTTCATTTCACTGAGCACATGTTCTCAGGGTACAGGATGATATGACCCAGCTCTGATTTGCCTGCAGGCTCAAAATGAGACAGCAGTGGTCTCATTGCCCAATGTGGCATCACTGCCCAATCGTCTTCTAGCATTACCTATTTTGCTGAATGACACCCTCTTGCCCAAGCCAAAAATGAAGACACTCCACTGCACCCAAATCTCCTTAAATACTCCTTGAACCTACTCACCTCTCTCAAATCCTACTGTCACTATCCCAGTCACTGTCCTATTCATGCTGTCACTGGCTCTGGCCTAGGCTGTTGAAGCAACCAAATCAGATTCCCTGGCTCCCATCTTGTTCTTCATTCCATTCCATCTTTTTAGGGGAGGGATAGTGGGTGGTGGGGAGGTTGGGGAGGGATAACATTGGGAGAAATGCCTGATGTAGGTGACAGGGGGATGGAGGCAGCAAACCACCATGGCATGTGTGAACCTATGCAACAACTCTGCAAGTTCTGCACATGTACCCCAGAACTTAAAGCATGATAAAAACAACAACGAAGTCTCCATCCTTAAACCCTCCAGCAGCATCCCATTGCTCTTGAGATGAAGTCCCAGCTCCATGACTCAGCTTCCTCCTGGGAACCTCGTATTCCATGATCCAACCTCGCTGAGTTTTAGTTTCTGAGAAATCTGCTCTTGTCTCATTCTTAGTCACACATGCTGTCTTGCAACCATATGTCTAAACCCGCATGAATTTTTCAGGTTTCATCTAAATACGACCTTCCAAAAAAAACCAAACCCGAACCCTTCTATATGTTTACTGCTCCATGCCACTGGCTGCCTAACCTGTTAAACTCTAAACTTGGCCTACTTGTTCACCATATCTCCAGTACCGGGCACAAAGCAGGACCCTGATGCATGTTCTTAAAACGAATGAATAAGTTTAGGCTCCCTAAGTGGGAGAGGTTTATGTTTGTGTCCATGTCGGATGCACCTCAGCAAGTGTGAATTGGTTATGTGGCAGGGTGGAGTAAAGACATAAGCAGCCTCTCCCCTGGACTGTTCCCTGCTGAGACATGGTCGTAGCCAGTGTGTGGCCCTCTAACCTGGGGGACTCTGGTGATTCATGAGAGACAGGTCTCCCATAGGTTTTGCTCTGCTCTGTCCAGGAGTCCCCTGAATCTGCAATGCCCACTCTGTCCTGCAGGGGTGTGTTTAAGAAAGGAACCAGATCCACTCCACCTGCCCACAGTTTTAAGAACTACGTCAGATGAATGCCCTCTGCTGGGAAGCTGAATGCCGAGGTGGTGGTTAGATTTCTGTCATTCCTTGGAAGACAGCGTGATATGAAGCTCAGGCATTTATATAGGCTGCTTTCAATGAAACAGCCTGAAAGATGTATTTCTTAAAGGTAAATATCAACCAATTCCAAATGTTCTAAACCTTCTCTAACCTTTACTCAGGCCAGAGGAATGAGAGACATTAATATAGCCAGAAACGGCCTACCAAAACAGTGTAAGCTCTATGAAGCACTGATAAAACCTAGCGGTTTGACTCAG